CTCTTTTATCTTTTATAATAGATCACCTTTTCCTAGTTATTCTTTATATAAATTTCTCTGTTCAAACCACTGGTGTGGTTTCTCCTGAGTAGACTAACTGATACACTCATATATGGAAATGCTATCAATTTCTGTGTATTTGCCTTGTGCTCTACAACTTCCTAAATTCATTTACTAATTCTAATAGTTTTTTTATGGATTTATTTGGGTTTCCTATATATTAAATCATGTTGTCTACATGTAGTGACATTTTATTTCTTCCTTTCTAATTCTTATGTTTTTATTTAACTTGCCTTATTGCACTGGCTAGCATCCCTAGTACAATGTTGAACAGAGTCTTGCAAGTGGGAATCTGTATTAGTTTCTTACTGTTGTTGTAACAAATTATCACAGACTTAGTGGCTTAAAATAACACGAATTTATTCTTTTACATTTTGGAGTTTAGAAGTCCAAAATCAGTTTCATGGGGAGAAGAGATGTAGCCTAGAGACTTATCTTATTTACTTTGAGCCTTGTAAATGCACTACAATTCTGCATCCTCTAGAATCTAGCTGTTTTTTAACAGGCAGTCCTTTCGGAGTTTCTAGTCTGACATATTACCAGAACAGAAATCAAATTCAGGGTTGCTGTTGTTTTGTTAAGTTGAAGGAAGTTTACTGAAAAGAAGGACTATGCCCTTTTCCAAACATATAATGGATTACATTTTTTTATCTATATTATTCCTTGCTAGAAAAAATAGAGAACTGAAATCTTGAGAAAGCAAAGAAAATGAAAACTGATCTGTATGTAACTTGGTATGTCAAAAAAAAAAATGGTAAGCATTACATAACTGTATTACCTGATTTATTGCGGTCTTGAAGTTGGAAAGCATGAATAAGGTCACTTTTCCGTGAAATCATTCTCTCTTTTAATATCCTGATGGCACTACTTTCCATAGTAGTTACCCTATGTTAAGAAAACAATTATTAGGTAAAAATTACATAAATTATCCTGTTCTGTTCCAATTTATTTATTATTTATTTGTTTGTTTGTTTATTTTTGTTGTTTCATTTTAATGTGCCATATTACCACTTACCAGTTTCTACTTTAAATGAATTGCCTAACTTCATACATACCATATTACTAGGTGGTAAATGTGTGTATATGTATGTATGTGTATGCATGTTTTGTGAAATTTTAAAAGAATTACCATTGGTGTTTTCTTTTGGATTTCAAAGATTCACATGAACAATTAATGTCTGAGAATGCCCAAGACAATTTTGAAAAAGAAGGAAAATAAAGAGGGACTTGCTATAGCAGAAATTGAAATTTACCATAAAGTTACTGAACCAAAACAGCAGGTATTGACACAGGAGAAGCCAGATACTTGAGTAGAACATAATAGAAACATCATAAGTATAGCAGACTGCATGTGAGAATGATATGTATAACAAAGGAGGTATTACAATTCAGTAGAAAGAGACAATTAAAAAAATGATGCTAGCATAGTTAATTAGCTGACTAGATACGAAACTTTTACCTCAGACCATTAACAAAAATAAATTCAAAATAAAGGAGAAACAGAGAAACAAAGTAGTCATGAGTCATATCCTCCCCCCTCCCAAGAAAAGCAAAATGGCTGATATAAATCTAATCCTATCAATAATAACATCATATGTGATTAGATTAAATAAATTAAAAAGCAGAAATTGTGAGACTGGATGGAAAAAAAAAACAAGATCCAAGTATATGTTGCCTACAGGAGACACACTTTAGTTTCAAAGATATGAACAGCTTGAAAGGAAAAGAACAAAGGTACATCATACAAACAGCAATTATGGAGAGTAAGAGTGGCCATACTAATAGCAGACAAAAAGACTTTAAGACAAAAGCTGTTACTAGAGATAAAAAAGAATATTTTATAATGATAAGTCAATCAGTCAAGAAGATGAAACAAATATAAACACATATGAACCTAACGATAGAGCCCAAAACTACATGAAGCAAAAACTGACAGAATTGAAGGGAAAATAGACAATTCAACAATAGTTAGAGACGTCAATACTCTACTTTCATTAATAGAACAACTAAGCAGAAAATCAAAAAGGATACAAAAGACTTAACAGCACTATAAACCAACTAGATCTAACAGATAAGAGAAAAACACTCCACCCAACAACAGAAGAACATATAGTCTTCTAAAGTACATATGGAGCATTCTCCATAAGACCCTATATTAGGCCATAACATAAGCCACAATAGATTTTAAATGATTAAAATCATATAAAGTTTCTTTTTGGACTACAAAAGAATTAGAGATTAATAACAAAGAAATTTAGGAAAATCACAGATATGAGGAAATTAAACAATACAATCCTAAATAGCCAAAAGGGTCAAAGAAGAAATCACAAGAGAAACTAGAAAATACTTCAAAATAAATGAAAATTAAAATACATGCAACGACATGGATGGACCTAGAGGTTATTATGCTGAGTTAAATAAGTCAGATAGAAAAAGATAAATACCATATGACTTCACTTACATGTGGAATCTAAGGACCACAAAGAACAAACTAATCAAAAACAGACTCGCAAATATAGTGGACAGTTTGGTGACAGACAGAGGGGAGGGGGATTCGGAGGCTGGGAGAATGAGGCGAAGGGCTAAAAAAGTACAAATTAGTAGCTGTTGGATGGTCACGGTTGGGGAGATTGTTTTATGAACATCATAGATGTCTAACCAAAGTACTGTATAATTAAACTAATTTAAATAAATAAATTTATATTAAAAAAATACAACATGCCAAAACATATTGAGATGTAACTAAAGCAGTGCTTAAAGGAAAATTTATAGTTTTAAATGCCTACATTAAAAAAAGATCTCAAATCACTAACATCATTCGTACCCTCAACATCTAGGAAAAAAGAGTAAACTAAAACCTAAAGTAAGCAGGATGGGAAATAATAAAGACTAGAGGAGGAATAGAGAGTAGAAAAACAATAGAGAAAATCAACAAAACCAAGAATTGGTTCTTTGAAAAGATCAATGAAATTGACAAACCTTTAGCTAGACTGGCCAAGAAAAAAAAAGAAAGAAGACTCAAATTTCTAAAATCAGGAATGAAAGAGAGGTCATCATGACTGACCTTGTAGAAATAAAAACGATTAAAATATAAGGAAATACTATGAACAACTGTACACCAACAAATTAGATAACCTAGGTGAAATGGACAAATTCCTATAAAGACAAACTACCAAAATCAACCAAGAAGAAATTTAAAAAAAAAAATAGAACATACCTGGAACAAGTAAAAAGATTTACTAAGTAACCAAACAACTTCTCGCAAAAAAAAAAAGCTAAGGGCCAGATGGCTTCACTGGTGAATTCTATCAAACATATTTAAAAATGAATTAATACCAATCACTCAAAAATTTTTCTAATAGAAAAGATGGGTTTACTACCCATCTTATTATATAATATAGCCAGTATTACACTGATAAGAAAACAAAGATCACAAGAAAACTATAGAACAGTATCTCTTAGGAATGTAGATGAAAAATCCTCAACAACATACAAGCAAATGGTATTCAGCAACATATAAAAAGGATTCATACCATGAACAAGTAGGATTTATCCCAGGAATGCAAGGTTTGTTTAACATCTGAAATTAATCAATGTAATATACCATATTAATAGAATAAAGGACAAAAACCACATGATCACTTCAATAGATGCAGGAAAAGTATTTGACAAAATCCAATACTTTCATGATAAAAACACTGAACAAACTAGGCATAGAAGGGCACTTCTTTAACCTGAGAAGTGGCATCTAATAGCTACTCTAGCTAATATACTTAATGGTGAGAGACTGAATGTGTCCCTCATAAGATCAAGAACAAGACAAGGATATCTGCTCTCGCTGCTCCTATTCAACATTGGTCTGGAGGTTCGAGCCAGGGCAATTAAGCAAGAAAAAGAAGTAAAGGCATCCATACTGGAAAGGAAGAAGTAAAACTATGTCTATTCACAGATAATATAATCTCGTATATAGAAAATCCCAATGAATCCACCAAAAACTATTAGAACAAAGAAGTTCATCAAGATTGCACAATATACAAAATAAATTGTATTCTATATCCTAGAAACGAATGGTCCAAAATATAATTAAGGAAACAATTCCATTTACTATAGCACCAAAAAGAATAAAATACTTAAAAATGAATTTAACAAAAGTGCACTTAAAAGCACATAATATTGTTCAAGGAAATGACAGATCTGACTAAATAAAACAATATGGATTGGAAGACTTAATATTGTCAAGATGGCAATAACCACCAAAGCTGATTCTAAAATTCATATGGAAACGCCAGGAATCCAGAATAATCAAAACTACCTTAAAAAAGAACCAAGTTCAACTCACATTTCCAAGTTTCAAAACTTACCGCAAAGCTATAGAAATCAGGACAGTGTGTTACTTGCATTAGGATAGACATATAGATCAATGGAATATAATTCAAAGTCGAGAAATAAACCTGTGCCTTTATGATCAATTGATTTTTGACAAGTATGCCAAAACAAACAGGGGAAGGATAGTCTTCCCAATTGATGGTGCTAGGATAACTGAATGTCCACATGTCAAAGAACGAAGTTGGACCTCTATCTCATACCACACACAAAAGTTAACTTAAAATGGATCAGATACCCAATTGTAAAAGCTTAATCAATAAACATCTTAGAAGAAAACAAGAATAAATTCTTGTAACTGTGGGTTAAGCAATGGCTTTTAGATACGACACCACAAGCACAAGCAAAAAAGAAAAAAATATATCGGATTTCATCAAATTAAAAACTTTTGTGCTGCAAATAATATCATTAACAAAGGGAAAAATACATATGTCTAGTAACTGACATGCTAAGTTTAGGATATATAAAGAACTATTACAACATGATAAATATAAAATGGAGGAATAATATATATAGGAAATTCAAAGAAGAGAAAATATAATTTCCAAAAACATAAGATGGCTAAACTCGGCTGTCTAAAAAATTCTAATTAAAATAGTGACATTTACTATCAGCTTGGCAAAAATTAAGAATAGGTTTATAATATTAGAGATTACTGAGGATGTGAAGAAACTAGTATGTTGTTTTTCAGACTGTTAATTTTTACAATTATTTTGGGGTATCTAGCAAAATTTTAAGCATGTAAATCCATAAATTTCACATTTTGAAATCTTACATAAAAGCAACACTAAAACTTATATATGTATGTATATGTATATGTATATGTATATGTATATATGTATACACACGTGCACACAGAAATGTTTGTTATAGTATTGTTTTTAAGTGTAAAACCCTGGAACCAATCTGGATGGCCATCGATTGAATAAGCTTTGGTCATTCCATAATTGTCATGACATATGTATATTACAGAATATTGTACATCTACTAAAAAAATGAATTGAGTCTATATGTACGAACTTGGAAAAATGTTCATGATAGAATCTTCAGTAAAAAAAGTCAGTTGCTGAATAGAATGTGCAGTGTGCTTTTACCTTTGTAAAAAAAATGTATGTATGGTGTTTACTGACTTTCTCCTCCCACTAGGATAAGCAGTTGATGAGGGAATGGACTTTTGCCTGTTTTGGTTATTACTATATCATCTGTGCCTAGAACAGTGTCAGACACATAGTAGGTGCTCAAATTTTTTTTATTCAACGAATGAATAACTGCTTGTCTATTTTTGTAGGAACAAGGAGAAGAGGGTGGAAGGCCATTAATTTCAGCAGCCTATGAAGAAAAAGGATTATTGAGGCATAGGGGGAGAAAAAATCATCAACATTTTCTTTATACATCTTTTTTTATGTCTCACTTGTTAACAATAAACATATTCATTCAATAATGAAAAACTCTTAAAAAGATAATGTCGAAGGGAGAAAAGGAAGATAAGCTATAAATGTCATCACATGGAGAAACACATTCGTCTTGTTATTTACACTTCTGGGTAGAGAAGAGACAAAGAAGCAAGACGAGACTGGGCTGTTTGGGGGCAGAGAAGGCTGTAGGTCAGGCTTCTTTTCTTATATTCAATTAGGGACTGTGTGTGGATGCTGGCCACTTTATCTATCTAAAGAGATGTGTGAATTAAAAATTGCTCCTGTTGGTGTCAAATATGAGTGTATCCGCTATTTGGTGTCTGGAACTATTTCCATTTTGTTTATACCAATGAGTAACCAATAAGTAGCTGTCTTCACTCCTGTGGCTGCTCTTAGTCCCTCTGGATTGGTTCTACTTGTTCACCAGTAGCAGCGCTTAGAATGTCCCTTAGAGTATACACACCTTTGGTAAAGAGGCCTCAAGCACGTTGCTTTGGTTACTTGGTACTGAAAAAAGCGAGGGACCAAACCAAAATCCAGCTTCACGTAAGCACCTCGATTACTGCCTTCTTCATAATAGTTAGAAGCAGAAAATACAGTAATAACCTGATAAGAAAAAAGAGGGTTAGGTTCACAAGGAGTTAGTTTTCAAAATTTCCTTCAATAAAGTCAGAAACAGCTCAATTCTTTAAAAAGCAAAAACAAAAACAAAACGAAACAAAACCAAAGTTTAAAATCCATACAAATTATCCAAGTCTAACAAGATTTCCTGCGATTCTATCAGACAAAAACAAGGCTTTCAAATCAGTGTCCCCGGAAGTACTGACTTCTAACCCTCATTCCCACAGTGCATGGCCTTGCAATCCTGTATACAATTTCAGCTCCGTATCTTAAAATCCTCCTTAATGCCTGGTTTTGCAAATTTTAATTTTCCAAGGGGGTAAGGCCTTTATTTTCTTTCCTTGCAATATTTGAACATTCAAAATAAAACTTGTCTAGTATCATAGTCTTTTTCTTTTGCTTAGAGATGGCTGGTTTAGAGGGTTTGGGGCCCCCCACAAAACCAGTGCTTTAAAGGCAGAGAAATAGTGGCTAGAATAAGGTACCATGACCACTCTGTTGGGAAGGAACCAGCCTTGGGGCAGTGGTGACATTTGCAGTGACAGGAAACATGGCTTAGGCCCGGTCCTGCCCTAGTAAACATGTCACCTCAGACAAGCCACTGCAGTTTTCTCTCTATTTTCTTATTACAAGGAAACCCTAAATAATACTTGCCTTAACCATCTCACAATTGTTAGTATGAGCCTCAAATAAACTAACAGAGTTAAGAAAAGTAAAAGTGTTGAAATAGAAGGAAATGCCCTACAATTTGGTATTCTTTTGTATTTATTGCTGTTTAGTATTAGAAAAAGGGATATCCCAGGACAACTTGGGACCAAAAATCCAGTTTCTCAGTCCTCACCTCTTCTGGCCTTCTCATACACCACACTGCAGGAGTGCAACACACTCCAAGATAGTGGTTGCAGCTAAACGGACCACAGCAAGTGACTTGCTAGAGATCACCTACTCAGTGAGTGGAAGGGAAGTGTGTTTTGTGCCTCTGCCTTGCACAGGCAAAGTAAAAAAGGTGGAAGAGAGCAAACTGGATTCACTGCTGCCTTTTATGTGCTCTGTGAGGATAAGTACGTTCTTAACGCCACTGTACTGGAGGGTCGCCGTGCGATTATTAAAGAACGAAGGTTTTCTGTGTACTTAGTGTCACATGTCAGAGTTTCTATCTCTGGGATTAGGGAAGATCAGGAAAATAAACCAAATATCTTTTAGGGAAAGGGACAGAGAGGCCCCTTCAAATAACCTACACGAACTCTACAGTCTCATGTTTTTGTCTACCAAAGCTTGGCCTTCTTTTTGGGTACTAGGGCAGACATCTTCCCATGGGCCTCTAGGTGAGACACATCCTGTGAAGAAAGACTGCTTGGGAGAAAGATGTCTGTCACGATGTCACCAACAATGTTACCTTACCTTCCCGTCATGGCAGACTTCATACCCTTCGGGCTTACATTCATGAGACCTAATAATCATCTTCAACTGGTATTTATTAAGGATCTTAGAGGTAATATCTGGTCCAAAATAGCAGCCCCCTCCTCGGCATGTATTTGGATAACAGCCTCTTTTGCTTCTGGGATCACTCCACAGAATATCGATAACCTTGAAACAACAAACTAGATTAGATTAGGCTGCTACTTACAAGTGAGTTTATCTTGTTAGATTCCAACTTCTTTTCCAGAAATATTTACAGAAACATTATCCCACCTGAAGTCTTACTATTTCTCATTCCTCCTTCAAAATTGTTTCATATTTTTCTCCTCCATGAATCTTTTCCAGAATGATTTTAATGCCCTTAGCCACCACAATCTCTTTCTGCTCATCCCCAATAACCAATGTCACAATAATAATAATTAATGTAGCAATACTTAGTAGTCATGAAAAATCAGCCCGTGTAGAGCTTTTTTTTTTTTTGGTCTTTAAAATTTCCATCACAATTGTTTCATAATTGCTCAACCTACGAAGTTGTCTTCTCTTCAAAGCACTTCATTGTCATGTTCAAAGGAGAAAGTAGTTCCCCACAGTGAACACATATTAGGTGTTCTTAATATGCCAAAAAAGATAAGGTAGGTCTCTCAGCCGTGGCTTCCGCCCTGGTGTTCTGAACATAACATGAGGAAGCCTGTTGAGAACATAACATGAGGAAGCCTCTTTCTCATCACAAATATAGACCACTGCTCATCCAGGAATACTTCCTAAAGCATCTCCTTCACTTTAAGGCCTCTTGATGACTACGTCTCAATTTTAGCAATACATTTAGCTACTGGTTGGTTTCCACAAGTATTCCTCTAAATCCACAAGTATTTTATTAGCATAACATTTCCTTTTGGGGCTGAAATAGTCAAATATAGGCTACATGATGCCCAGGACAGAAGTCTCAAGTTTCCAAGAATATTTTTCATAAAAAGTTGGGGGCTCCCTGTCTGTGGCTCTGATCTACGTATAATGTTTCTTTATTTAAACATCTCCTATAAGAGCTTAAAGCAGTAATGAGAAAAACTAACTTTGTCATTAAAGTCATGCAACCTTGAGAAAACTTTTTGGGTCTCACTTTCCAGGTCTTTAAAATCAGGTGTTTGGGCCAGATGACTTGTAAAGTATCTCAAAGTTCTAACAAACTATGACTCTAAGAGTCTATATTTTTCCACGTGCTTCTTTTGAGGGCATGAAGAAGCAAGCATTTTAAGTTATGCAGTTATTCTGGTGGGTCCAAACAAGGTCTTAAGAAAAAAACCAAAAATGACAGTCTCACTAAACATGGCTGTACAGCCATTTATAGATTTGGCACTGAAGGGAAGCTAGAAACCAGCAAGGGGAAAACAATGAGGAGGACAGAACAGAACTAGTAGAAGCACTACTCTGGAATGACAGGCACCTGGTCAGAAATCTGGCCCCAGGCACATTTCAGACACTTGCAGAGGTTTTGATGATTGACTGAAGTGAGAATTAAAATCACTCAAAGATTCTCCTTTCTCCCCTACTGAATTCCAACATCGGTATAACCCTACCCTACAAATAAATATAATGTAACCCATTTACTTTGCTGGTGTTTATGATAAAAATAATACCTGCATTTTAAACTGAATCATATCTGGCTCTCACACCATAAATTCATGTTCAGGGGATGTAATTTGACCTTTAGTATAATGAAGAAGGAAATATGGAACACAAGGAACTGTGTTTTCTAAGGAGGGGATTAAGTTTTAAATTCCTACATGAGATGCAAAATTACCCCAGAAAAACCTCTTAAATTACCTTAAAGCACAGTATACGTGATTTTGTATATACAACCCTATACAGGAATATGGATGTGCAATTTTTTATATATGTAATAATGTGTAATATAATAAATTACATGAAAATAAAATTTTACACTTTTGTCTCCTTTTTGCCATAGGCATATAGTTGAAATTTACATAAATTAAACATACATATGATGGGACTCTGTTGAACTAGAATAAGTCCTGGCCAACGAGTTAATTCTTCAAGTGTCACCTGTGTTGTCTTGGACAAATCACTTAACCTATTCGGGCCTCAAATGGCTCAGCAATGAAATGAGGAAGACATATCTAACACTCAGTTTTCTTTGATTCAAAGTCATAAGGGGTATCGATTTTATAGAAATGAACTTCTTCAGAATCATCCATTCCATGAATTCTGCATTTCTTTTCTCTGTCTAGAATTCGTTCGCTTGGTTAGGTTTACCCAAACTGTGGCCACAAAATAGATTTAATTCTGAGGCTCACAGACAAAAAATTCTATAAAGGGATCTTGGTGGTGAAACAGATTCCTAGGCAGAGACAATCTCTTTCCTCTCAACAACATCCTCTCCTCTGAAATGCAAAGGCCTTTTGGGTGGTAAGTACATACAAGAATAATTATTTATAACATTCTTTCCTGAAATTTTCAAACCAAAAGTTGGACAAGTTTTACTGAATGACAGCTTTTATATGACCTTGTCAACAAAAAACAATTTGTGTCTAGCTTTTAAACCTAAATCCAAAATATACTCTGCAAGAAATGCCCTGTGCTTGTCTGTTAAGTAATCCAGTTTCCAAAAGTATGATTTGAGGGAGAACTAATAGCTCTAAAAGGTATATCTAAATGTTTCTCTTCTAAAACACTAATACTGTAGATTCACTATCCTTTTGTGTTTTCCCCTAGTATCTTCCATCCAGCTTTTGAACATGTTGTCATAAAAGTTATGTTCAGCCCAAACTTTCTAGATTTCTTTAGATGCCTACTCCTTGTCTACCCATTGTCACATTGGATGAGGGGAGACTTGAGTAGTTCATTTCCTTCTTGAGACCTCCTATCACTCCTATCTTTTTCTGAAAGGAGAGTCATCCTTTCCTTCAGAAAAAGAGCATGGCATTAGCATAAGACCTGGGATCAAATACTGCTCTAGCATTCAGTGACTAGCCAAGTGACTACAAACTAGCCATTTCACTCTTGGGAGCTTTCTCAATTAGGCTGACTACTCTATTTAAAATTGCAACTCTATCTTCTACCTCCAGTTTTCCTGTTCCCCCTAACCTTATTCTAGTTTTAATTTGTTTTTCATAGAACTTCTCACTTAACATATTATATAATTTATTTGCTTATTATTATATTGAACTCTTCTCCTAGAATGAAAGCTCTATGAGGTGATAGATCTTTGACATTCTCAGAAGCCTAGAACAGTGTCTGACATATAGTAGGTACTCAATAAATACTTGTTAAATAAATGAAAAGAGAGAAAAGTCACTCAGGATATAAATCATTAAATTTATTTTTTAAACCTCTCTGGCCTCCTAATTGTTACAAGTCTCTCTTAAAGGAAGAATATCGCATTTGTCTCTTGTCTCTCTACAATGACTTAGCTATGAAAACATATATCTTCCACATCTCAGTGAATACAAAACAAAACAAAACAAAACAAAACTTAAATAAAGAACCTATGATCTTTATTATAACATAGCTCATAGATATTAAAAAATAAAGCAATTGCAAAATCTGTTTTATATGGAAATTTCAATTCTAGGTAACTAAAATGTGTATGTCCATTATGTTCTAGTAACTAAGGAAAGAAAATTAAAGGTACAACCGAATTATTAAAATATTAGGAATGAGATTCTGGTCCTTTTTACCCTGTGTCAGCTCCAGTCACAGATATGGAGTCTGTAAGATGCCTTATCTACATTGTTTGGGGGGAGTGGGGGTGGGGTGGGGGTGGTAGAGATTCTATTAGAGAATAATGATGCTCGGTCTCCTCCCTCCCACTTCTTAAGGCTATCTCTCTCTGTAATTCTAACTCATCTAGGCTTCTAGAGGCTATGGTATTCTTTTTGTGTAACTCCTATCTCTTTGGCATGATCCTTTTTATATACTATAATCCTAGAAGTGCTTGTTCTATCCTTTGATCTTTGAAATTTGGATGTCAAAATTTAAGGACACATCTTTTCCTACTTGCTATAGGCTATATCTTATACTTACTTGACTTTCAAATACTTTGGATGCAAAAGCCAGTGATGAATGCTATTTCTCTCTTACCACCTCTTCTCTATTCCTGTCTATCTCCCCACTTCTCTTTCTTTCTTTCTCCTCATTGATTATAGTATATTTTATATCATAAATCACATTTTAGTCAACATTTTCAGCAATCAAGGTATAAGGGTACAGAATCAAGAAATAGAGGCCTCTTAGGGATAAGAAGGCTAGTAGTTCCATGATAGTAGTAGCAAGAGCAGACCAGCTAGAAGTTTAACAGACAGAATCAGGAAAAGTGAAAGATGAGAAGAGCCCTCTTGGGGGGCCAGAATAAGCCTCCGTGCCCCTGCAAAGATGCCCAGCTTTAATGGGATCAGATTGTGAAGCTATTTGTGAGCCCCACAGATGTGCCAAAGCTTAAAAGGGAAACCATGGAAAAGACAGTCAAAGAGAACCTAGATGAAACTACAACCACTCCTGGTAGTAAGGGAAACTGTGTGCACAACCAGGACAACACCTTGTGAGGAGTGACATCAGAGGCTACACACTGAGAAGGAATAGACATCACCGAACTAGTCCGGATAAGCAACTAAACAAATAAATGAGCAAAAAACCCAAATAACAACAAGCCCCAGTGGGACACGGGAATAACTATCTAGAGTTACTATGATATATTACCTAAAATATTCAGTTTTCAATAAAAAATTACAAGACATGCAAACAAAAATAAATATGCAGGGAAAAACAAGCAGGCAATAAAAATCGCCTTGAAGGGATTAGATGTTGACTTAGCAAAGATTTCAAAGCAACCATTACAAATATGTTCAAAGACAGAAATATAAAGTACTCCAATCAACAAGAACAGAAAACATTTTCTTCTCAAGAGCACATGAAGCATTCTCCTAGAGAAATCACAGGCAAGGCCATAAAAAAAGCTTCAATCAGGTTTAAAAGGATTTAAATTTCATGTAAAGTATGTTCTCTAACCACAACTGAATTCAAGTCAAAATCAGTAAGAGAAGGAAATATGAGAAATTCACAAATATACAGAAATTAAATAATACACTCCTAAATAACATATGAGTTGAAGAAGAGATTCCAAGAGAAATTAGAAAATACTTTGAGATGAACAAAAATGAAAGCGCAGCATAGCAAAACTTATGAGATAGAGCTAAAGCAGTAACTGCAGGGAAAATTATAGCTTCATTACAAAGGAAAAAATCTCAAATCAATGACATTACTTTCACCTTAGGAAACTAGAAAAAGAAGAGCAAACTATATCTAAAACAAGCAGAAATAATAAAAGAATAATAAAGGTTAGAGCGCAAATAAATGAAGAATAGAAAACAATAGAGAAAAGTAAATAAAACCAAAAGTTGTCTCTTTGAAAAGATGAATAAAATTGACAAACCTTAGCAAGATTGATCAAGAAAAAAAAAGAGAGACTCAAATTACTAAAATCAGAAATGAAAGAAGGGACATCACTACTAACCTAACAGAAATATATATATACATACACACACACGCATATATATATATACATATATATGTATATATATATACACACACATATATATACATATACATATGTGTGTGTGTGTGTATATATATATATGAATTCTACATATTTAGGATAACAATTTAGATAAATTAGATGATATAGACAAATTCCAAGGAAGACACAAACTATCAAAATTACCAAGATACAAACTACTCAAGAAGAAATAGGAAATCTGAATAGATCTATAGTAAAAAAGAAGATTGAATTAATCATTTTAAAACTTTCTATAAAGAAAAGCCCAGGCTCAGATAGCTCCACTGATGAATTCTACCAAACATCTGAGGAATAATATCAATCCTTAACAAACTCCTTCCCGATTCACCCTATGAGGCAATCTTATGCTAATACCAAAGATCTCACCAGAAAAGAAAACTATAGACGAATGTCCTTTATGAATATAGATGTAAAAATCCTCAAAAAAAAAATATTAGCAAACTGAAGCCAGCAACATATAAAATGGATATACATCATGACCAAGTGGGATTTATCCCAGGAATTTAAGGTTGGTTTAATACCTGAAATCAATCAATATAATACACCACATTTAATAGAACAAAAGACAAATACCACATGACTATCTTAATAGATGTGGAAAAATCATTTGACAAAAGCCAGCACTCTTTTGTGATAAAATCACTCAACAAAGTAAGCCCAGAAGGGAACTTCCTCAATCTGATGCTAAGGGCAGCTAATATTTAAACAAACAGCTAATGTGGTACATATATACAATGGAATATTACTCAGCCATAGGAAGAGATGAAATACTGCCATTTGCAACAACGTGGATGGACCTCGAGATAATCAAACTAAGTGAAATAAGCCAAACAGAAAAAGTTGAAAATCACGTGATATCACTTATATGTGGGATATAAACCTAAAAGCAACAAATGAACAGGACAAACAAACAGAGACTCATGGACACGGACTATAGACTAGTGGTTACTAGTGGGGTGGGGGAGGAAGGGGGAGGTAGATGGGATAAAGGGGGTCAAATATAGGGGGATAGGGGAGGGAAAAGTGGATAAAGGGGATCAAATATATGGTAGCTGAAGGAAACTGGACTTTGGGTGGTAAACACACAATAGAATATACAGATGTCAAATGATAATGTACACTTGAAAATTATATAATTGTATTAACCAATGTTACCCCAATAAACTTAACAAAAATAAATAAATAAATTTTTAAAAAAGAAAAATAAGCAAACAGGTAATATCCTTAATAGTAAAAGATTGAATGCTTCTCTCTAATATCAGGAATAAGACAAGGATGTCTACTCTCACCACTTCTATTCAATGCTGCACTGGAGGTTCTAGACAGGGTAACTAAAAAGTAAAAGAAATAAAAGGCAGCTAGATTGAAAAGGATGAAGTAAAATCACATCTATTCACAGATAACATGCATTTGTATATAGAAGGTCCAGAGGAATCCACTAAAACCATTAAAATGAATAAACAAGTTTATCAAGATTCACGATATGAGATCAGTATATAAAAGTCGATTGTATTTCTATACACCAGCAATGAACAATCCGAAATGTAATAAAGAAAACAATTCTAAGCATTGAAAATACTTAGCAATAAATTAGGAATAACCTTAACAAAACAAGTGGCTCACTATACGTGATTATAAAACACTGCTGAAATTAAAGATCTAAATAAATGGAAGCACATCCTAATTCCATGGAATCGAAGATATAATATTGTTAAGATTGTAATAGTACCCAAATTGATTCACAGAATCAAGGCAATCCCTATCAAAATCCCAGCTGTTTTTTGGTAGAAATTGACAAGCTGATCCTAAAATTCGTATGGAAATTCAAGGGACCCAGAATAGTCTGAAAAATCTTGAAAAAGAAGAAAAAAGGTAGAGAACTCACACTTATCGGTTTCAAAACTTTATACAAAGCTACAGTAATCAAAACTGTGTAGTACTGATGTAAGGACAGACATATAGATCATGGAATAGAATTAAGAATCTAGAAATAAACCTTCATATTTATGATCGATTGATTTTTGAAAAGGGTGTCAAGGAAATTCTATGAGAATCGTGTTTTTAACAAATGGTGCTGGGATAACTGGATATCCACATGCAATAGAATGAATTTGGACACCTACCTCAAACTATACACAAAAATTAACTCAAATGGATCAGATATATAAATGTAAGAGCTAAAACTATAAAACTCTTAGAAGAAAACATAGGAATAAATCTTCACAAATTTGGGTTAGGCAATAGCTTATTAGATACAACACCAAAAGCACAAAGCAAAAGCACTTCTTTCACTCTGGCTGAGTAAAAGAAGCCAGACAGAAAACATCAGATATTGTGTGGGTCTATTGCTATAACATGTCCAGAAAAGGCAAATCTATAAAAACCAAAAGTAGATTAGTGGTTTCCTAAGGTAGCAAGGAAGCGGGTGGGGAAATGGGAGGTGGGGATGAGGAGGGAATGGGGAGTGACTAGTAATAAGTATGGAGTTTCTTTTTTAGCTGACGAAAATGTTCTAAAATTAGATTGTAGTGATAGCTGCACAACTCTGTGAATATATCAAAACCATTGACTTATCTATTTTAAATGAGCACATTTAAAACAGATATGTGTATGTGAATTATATCTCAGTAAAACTATATAGAGTGATGAATTCAGAAAGAAGGATATGATCTGCTTATAAAGGTAAGTCATTTTTTATCCCTATATTATAAGAGACAACATCATCTATGCTGAATCTTCTTTGCCACTTGGTGAACAGTTAGATTACCTACCTGTTCCCATTCATGCTTTGCCAACTGTTCAGAAAAGGATGTAGTTAATTTGGTTCCTCGAGCCGTGCCTATTTTATTTTTCTTCCCATCAATAACATGGCTTTCATCTACTGGAGTTGGTGGCATCAGCACAGATTTCATCTAAAAAACAAATTCATCCTTTAGCCAAACCCTATGCTTAGTGTGCTATACACAGAAACTCCAGTACCAGTTGCTATATGGTCTGTATTGTTGTGCCTCAACCCAATGAAAAACGTATGGTCACCTTTTCTATCTCACCGACCTCCTTTATCTTAGTCATTCACCAATCTCTATAAAGTGGGCTTGTTAAATTCTGTTTGTACATTTTTCAACTAGAGACATTTCCTTACAAAAAAGTTTCCCACTAGAGTTTCTAAAGCACTTCAGAGGTACAGATGTCAGTGCTAGACATGTTCTAAAGGGTATCACCACAGGGAATGCAAGATGCTAAGGGAAAAACTAGTCTCCCTCTGAGCCTTAATCTATACTTGGGGCTAAGAGAGAACCAACAGGCTTTGAGCTTAGAAACATCTCTTATGAGATTGGCTGTTTTTCATTTTGTTGTTTTTTTCCCAGAGAAATGAGAGTAAGAACATCTGCGTCCAGGGAAGTTCTCCAAGGGGGCATAAGTTGAAAACTTTGGAAGCCCTTCAACTTAAATGCAATGTGATCTCAATCTGACCCTGCCAGCAACTGATGTTCTCTGGTCCTAGTAAAAAAAAAAAAGTGATGCATTTCTTTGGAAAATAAAACGTCTTTCTGTTAGTACAACAATTACTATAATCCCTTTCATGTTCCTTTACATAACCTGAGACTGTAATTTTATACTAATTTTATACAAAACAATTTGAAAGAATACTTTTGTTATGTTTGTGGCCTTAGTTCAGTGATGAACAACTCTCTGTAGTAGAACCTTAGTCTCTTCTATCAACTAAGGTGTATATGAAATCTTATTTTTACTCTCAAAAATAAAAGTGAAACTTATTCTGAGGTCCTGTCCCATTGAGATGGTTGGAAATTCAATCTCAGCTATTATCAGTGAGTTCACAATCTACCCTCCCCATTTCCCCTTAGCCAATGTCCCTAGGTTTTCAATAAGTTCATTGGGCAAGGCCACATGGTCTCTTAAGTATACGTGGCTCTGCTGTCTTCAAGGCCACTTGGAATCAAGGTCCCTGCCCCTCCCTAAGGCACCATACCATCATTTTCTCTTAAGATTCTACTAGCCATCCCTTCCCATACTACCTGCCAGGGAGTTTGAAGAATACTAAACCAAAGTCCTAGTCTTATAGAATCTTCTTTCACTGTCTCTCTGCACTGACTCTCCCCACCCAACCTGCCCACCTCACAAAATGCCTTGAATGTACCTAGAATGGAGGTTGTCATCAGGTTCCCCCAAACCTATCCATCACCAATTAACAATTACACCACAACAACAGGTATAATCCAGAAAGCATGGCCACCCTACACTTGAAGGGTTCTAAGAAATAGGACACTGGGGGGTTATAAAATTGGAGTTGAAAATCTACTTTTATATCTCATCTGGTAGAGTTCCAAAGGCTTGAACCTACTTCTTTCATTACTGCTCAATTATATTAAATACAACAAATATGTGCTGCCAGTTAAACCTCACCCTAGGAGAGGTAGAAGATATAAAAAATACACAAGTCAAATTTCTATCTTTAAAATCCATCTTATGAGTGGGTGGAACAATGATTCCTGAAGGCATGAAATTTCAGGTATCCAGAGAAAATTCCAGACCCACATACATCTCCCCAGGGTCTGTCTTCGTGAGTGAAATTCAAACCTCAGTTCCAAGTATCAGGAAAAAGGGAGAGAATTGAAAAAGAAAGCTTTATATTCAGAGCTCACTCTATGAAGTTTTCTTCATCTAGTTAATTATATTTAATCCTCCCAACAATTCTATTTAGTAGGTATTTTCAGCTTCAATATATAGGTGTGGAAACTGAGGCTTAGAAAACTTTAGTTACTTGCCTAGTCACCCAGCCAGGAAGTGGCAGAAGCAGGATATAAAGCTACGTACATGTCAGAGCCTCATGGTGTTTAGGTCAAGGTGGCTCTTAAGTTAGGGTCTCCACAAAGATAGTACTAGGCATTCCAGAGACAAGATCTTAGTATCTCAAAAGCCCTAGAGAGGGCTAGCTGCTCAGGCTAACCTCAGGAAGGGAAAAGTTTCAATCTGATCAACTGATAGTGGCTGCCATGGCC